TTTTTTATCAGACATAGGTGGCAACCCTAGTTTGAGTAGATCCTCTGTACCTCTCGTTAGCCTATATGAATACAAGTTTACAGTTTTGAACGATGTATGCCTACTCTACTCTTATCTGTATGACCAAAAAATTACGGGGGGGATTAAAATTATTCAGCAGAAGCAGGGATGTTTAGACCAGAAGGAAATCCTAGTCCCCCCTGGCAAATCACACTTTACTTAAAACCATGTTTTTAAAAAAACTCTAGGTTGTTGGGAACAGACCTCTCTGTCATGCGCGCGCACGGTTTGGAGCACAATATCTGTCTCGCATGCACGCTCGCTCTAGATAGATTACGGGATATTTTAACTAATTTGCGGTATAACTAGTCGATCACGAGTGGCTCAACAGGTAGATCTATAGATAAACTATATCTTTTAGGAATTTGACCGACCGGGTTGACACTTCAGCGTGAGAAATCGGGGGTGTGGCGTGAGAGCGTGAGATTTGGGTCAATTGCGTGAGTAGCCTACTCTCACGCTCAATGCGTGAGAGTTGGCAGCCCTGAAAAAAAAAAAAAAAAAAATATATATATATATATATATATATATATATATATATATATATATATATATATATATAGGCTATATATAATTAATTTTTTTACAGAACTGCTTTTGAAATTACGATTGGTAGCCTATTATTATACAGATGCAAAGTCGTTCTGTTGGATACTATTTTGTTCCTTATAGTGTAAAATGGAAATGCATGATAATTGTATTTTATAAATATAAGCAAAAAAAACTGTATGGTGTAACAGAGTTTTAGAGCTAGACAAATCTAAATAAATATAAAATTTACAGCAGACCATGTTTGTGCGGGATTTGAACCCGTGTCATCTTGATGATGAACCCTAAGTTCTACCGCTCGGCTACGAATTTTCTCACTGAGGAATACCCAAACGTCTGTTTCTCACATGAGCGATTTTTTCATTTAGCCTGTGAGTGTAGGCCTATACTTTAGCCTTTTACAGTTTTAAAAGATTATATCTTATCTGTATGACCAACAATTACGGAGTAGGCTATAAATGTTTGTTGTAGGCTTATTTGGAAATTACCATAACTTGTAGTATTTCATCCTTATAGGCTACAGACATTAGCCCCACTTACGTTTTGCTAAATGTCCCTTTGCGCCACCTGGCGGTCGTTTCGCGAACGACTTTGAAATGCGACTGGTTTATTTTTACCGCGGTGGATGGCTAAAAATGGGATGTGGATGGCTAAAAGGTGTGACTAAAAATGTGCTTTTGGCTTTCATTTATATTTTGATTGTTTGTATATATATACACTACCGTTCAAAAGTTTGGGGTCGGTACGATTTTAAATACTTTTAAAAGAATTCTCTTCTGCTAACCATGGCTGCGCTTATTTGATTAAAAATACAACAAAAATCAGTTATAGTATTAAATATTATTCCAGTGTAAATCAGCTGTTTTCTGTGTGAATATATAGTAAAGTGTAATTTATTCCTGTGATCAAAGCTGAATTTTCAGCATCACCAGTGTCTTCAGTGTCAAATAATCCCTCACAAATCAGTATAATATGAGGATTTGATGCTCAAGAAACATTTATTATTATCATCAATGTTGAAACAGTTGTTGGTCTGTCAGTTGTACAGTTTTTTTTTTTTTTTTTTTTTAGGATTCTTTGATGAATAGGGTTAGGGTTAGAATCTTTTGTAACATTATAAATGTCTTTACTGTCACTTTCGATCAAATGAATTATTCCTTGATAAATAAAAGTATTGATTTCTTTCCTCCAAAAAATAAAAATAAAATTCTCACTGACCCCAAACTTTTGAACGGTAGTGTGTATATATATATATATATATATATATATATATATATATATATATATATATATATATGTGTGTGTGTGTGTGTGTATAAATATTTATTTATTTATATATATATATATATATTGTCCTTGCATTCTTTCTTGTGTGACACCCCTGAATGAAAGGCTCATTAGTATGCAGTCTGCTCAGGTGAGAACTGCCTAATTATTCATGAGGGGGTTGGGTCGTTCCGCCCATCCGCATATTGCCTTTGCAAACAAAAAAATGTTTTTCACAATTTAAAACAATCTATTGTTTTATGTGAATGATTAGGCAGAATGATTTTCAGATCAATTCGAAGCAAAAACTCTAGGCGACAACATCCACTAGTCAAAAGTCTTGTGGACAGATATTTAGTATGTTATTTGTGGCCTTATATTAGAAACTTTATTTTTTAGTTTTTTCAATAACCACGCATAAACAATATTCTCTCAAAAATACAAACATGTATTAACATGTTGTTCACATATTATGGTAGCCCTGTGTGTGCTATATAGAGTGTAATTTCACCTGTGCCATTAATATGTTTATAAGCAACTGAAAAAAGCACAAATGTCAGAGCATGCCAAAACATCTCAAGGACCCCGAAAACACCTCAGACCCCAGAGGGTTAATCTGGTCCCAAGATCATTTTAATTCTGCTAACCAGCAAGTTTGAACCATTGCCAGTCACTACAACAATAGGGAGTGTTTTCTTTTACTCTTGGTACTCAACAGAAACCTGGCAAGTACCTCTCACTTTGATCTGTTGTCCCGTATAAGTTTCCAGTTTCATTCCAGTCTGTCTTAGTTTTAGTTTTTTCCCCCAACTTTTTCCGCAGTTTCTTGAATGTATCCCCATTTAAAACGGTAAGACTACATCCAGCATCTATTTCTAGCTTCATTCTGTGCCTGTCAATTAGCATGTTCATGGGTTGTATTCAACCCAGTGTGAATGTATCAAATGAATTATCGCTGTCACTTTCTGCCACTTTATATGCAATGACATTGTCCATGGCTCTTTCATCTCTGATTTCTCTCTCTAATGGCCGTTCTACCCTTATTTCTACAAGCTCATGATATGCGACTAATTTTACCACATGCATGACATTTCTCTGTTTTGAATCTACAATCAGGAGTGATTTATTTTCTTGCATGTATAACAGGACTTAAATGCTGCACTGGCTTGCATTCCTTCTTCACAGCTCACTCTGCTGTCTGCTTTGCTGCACAGCTTGTGACATGCTGCTGCCATGCTATTCCTCCGCAGGTCCAGTGCATTTTAATCTGCCACCTCCAAAGAGAGTGCTATTTATTTATTTATTTATTTATCTATTTATTTAGTCAGATTTTGTTCCGATAATAATCTTCTTTGGATTGGTTCATCATTAACTTCACATACAAGTCTGTCTCTCATCATCTGTTGCAGTATATCACCATAATTACAATCCTGTATGAGTTTGCGTCGCTCAGCCACAAAGTTAGTTACTGTCTCATCAGGCCTCCTTGAGCGTGAGTCAAACTTGAAATGTTGAACTATCTTGCTCGGCTTTGGGTAGAAATGGTTCTTTAACAAATCCTCCAACGGAGAATAGCTCTTTGCTTCATTGCTTCACTAAAGCATATTTGCTTTAAAAGGAATTATCCAACATCTCACTGCCCACTGAAGCTAAGCAGGGCTGAGCCTGGTTAGTACCTGGATGGGAGACCTTCTGAGAAAACCAGGTTGCTGCTGGAAGAGGTGTTAGTGAGGCCAGCAGGGGGCGCTCACCCTGTGGTCTGTGTGGGTCCTAACGCCCCAGTATAGTGACGGGGACACTATACTGTCAAAGAGCACCGTCCTTCGGATGAGACGTTAAACCGAGGTCCTGACTCTCTGTGGTCATTAAAAATCCCGGGATGTCTTTCGAAAGAGTAGGGGTGTAACCCCGGCATCCTGGCCAAATTTGCCCAGTGGCCTCTGTCCATCATGGCCTCCTAATCATCCCCATATATATATATACACTGATTGGCTTCATCACTCTGTCTCCTCTCCACCAGTAAGCTGGTGTGTGGTGAGCGTTCTGGCGCACTATGGCTGCCGTCGCATCATCCAAGTGGATGCTGCACATTGATGGTAGTTGAGGAGATTCCCCCTTCCATGTGAAGCGCTTTGAGTGCCTAGAAAAGCGCTATATAAATGTAATGAATTATTATTATTATTATTATCTCACAGTATTCTTCCCATGACTGTGTTTCCTCATCAAACGCCGCTACTATCCCAACAGTTGCAATGCTTCACTTAGATACGACTTTTCTCTTCCATCACTCCATCATACAACTCTCACGCGTTTACATGGTATCCTTGTCGCCAAAATATGTGGTCACTTATCATGAGAAAATCACACAACAGAAAGGAACGGAGTATGGTAGTTTTACGAATAACTGTTCTTAAATTCCAGGATTGAACAAGCATGAGCTGACTATCCAACAGGACAGAACATTCTACCGCAGTAACAACCCTAGTGGTAACAACTGAAACTGCTAGAATTGGACTCAGTCTACTACACAACCCAGAGTCAAACTACTTAACAGTGGCCCCCATCTGGAGAGAAAAGTGCTCGCTGAAACTCTCCATTTCTTGGCGAGCGGTGTCTGGGAGACGGGAATAGGAAGACGCCTATAGTAGCTCTGCGGAGTCCTTTTTTTGACAGATTGTTCTGTCATGTGAGGGTTTATGGATGGCGAAGACTCTAACACAGATTTACAATGTGGAAAAAAAGAAATAGTCCAGAACAGGCACTGGGAAACTGGCTAGGCTGGAGTACCACACTGGAACAGGTAAGACTGACAGGAACAGACAGGCACCTAAAAGGGGAAAACCACCTCAACAATCTTGCACAAGAAAAAGCAAACAGGGAGAATAAATAAGGAAGAAAATAGGACTCTAGGAGGGTAATGGGGAAGAGCAGGTGGGGTAAATGAACTAATAAAAAGATAACAAAAAGGCAGGACCAAGACAAGACACTGACAAAAGGGCACATGGCAGACAAAAATAAAGAGACATATTCTCAGGCACAAAACAAACTCAGACACACTAAACACAAGTAAAATTCAGATAACAAGACAGTCAGGGTAGGATCCTGACACTGTAGCACACACCGACCTTTGTTGCAGGACAGCCCTGTTATCTTCAATTGTTAAACGGTCTTCATGGTCCCTCAGAAAGACTTCAAATGCAGCCTGCTTACCAACAGATAATTCCGGCACTGAAAGAGAAGAGTGCATAGTTAGTTAAAGTTATGAGACTGTTATCTACTAAGATCATGCAAATATGGTCTCTAATAAGGTCATGTGAACATATCATTATAATAAAATTATATTCTCATTACCATTTGAGAATCATACCATTACATTTTAGAGTAGTCTTTTATTGTGGCCAGCCTAAGGCACACCTGTGCAATAATCACGCTGTCTAATCAGCATCTTGATATGCCACACCTGTGAGGTGGATGGATTATCTCGGCAAAGGAGAAGTGCTCACTAACACAGATTTAGACAGATTTGTGAACAATATTTGAGAGAAATAGGCCTTTTGTGTACATAGAAAAAGTCTTAGATCTTTGAGTTCAGCTCATGAAAAATGGGGGCAAAAACAAAAGTGTTGCATTTAGAATTTTGTTCAGTGTAATTAAACATCGTCGTTGAAGTTGGTATTGTGGCTTTATATAGCTATGGTTATGAAAATCAAGCTCAAATGAAGTTATGAGTTTTTTGACCAGCAAATGACAGATATTTTCTCTGTCACTGGAACAGTTGCATCTGAGGCATAGCATTACATTTTCATCAACTTACAGGATATAAAGTTTATTGTAGCAATATGGGCGCTCCGTTTTCTTGTTGTTGAAATCTCATGATACAAATGATGAAGCATTATGCACAGGATTTTTAAAACAGTATATGTGCTTTAACTAGATGGCAAAGACGAAGACTATTCTGCACTCTTTAAAAAAACGCTAGCCTTTATGGACAGTTGTTTATTGAGTAAATAAAAAACTGTACTTACTCAAACATCAGTTCTTTATTTACCCTTGCATCACAAACAAGCAGGGATCTCCAAACTGTGCAAGCGGCACATTCTAAATGGAGGCGTGGTGGAGTTTGACTGCCAGTTTGAGGATCCAATGGATTTTTAGTCACAACCTCTTTTAAATGCTTTTTATTGGTTAAATATATTTTTATAAAACCCACATACAGACATAAGGGATGACCAATAGCATTCATTTTATAACACAAAAATGACGAAATATAGAGATATGAGGTTTTGGCCTGACAGAACTATGAACTTTTCTTATTTGTAGCATTTTTTTTTTTTTTTTTTTTTGGAATTTAATTATTTTCCATGGCACACCTGACAACACTGCCTTATGAAACAAGCCTGACTAATTTCATTTTTAACAGCTGCATTATCCAGTTAAATAAAGTGGCAGTGAATCTGCACATTTTGTTCGAGTGGTTAGGCAATTGAAAGCATGCAATATGTAGTGAATGCCATGTAATATAGGGCTATAAATATCTGGTTTGTGGTAACTCACCCCTTTTTCTGGTTATCAAATGATGAGCATGTTTGTAATCAAGAGAGGTGTCGCATTTTTCATTCTCCTCCGCCTGTAGGGCTGTGGGTGACCGTGATGAACTGCAGGTTGATGTGTTTGGATTGTGTAACTGTGCCAGCTGGGAAGTAACATCTTGAACTTTCATCTTTTCTCTCTTGAGCATGCTCACTAATATACCTGAGAAGCTTAAATTAAGGATAATGATTTTTTTCGCCCTGGAGATCTGTTTGTTACAAGGATAATTAAATGCAAAACAGTCAATCAAATGAAAAACAGTGTGAGTTTCTGAAGATTCAAAATCTTGTAGTCTATATAAAGTGGAACTGCAATGCTTGGGTCTGAATTCCTCATTATTATAGCTCCACAGGCCCCTTTTCTACCCCTTTTCTGATGTGCGTCTGAGAGCAACTCGTTTTGGTGCGGTCTCTTTAAATACAATTGACACACTTCATACCCCGCCCCCTCTCCAGGTTGTAGCGGTGACACTCGGTTCAACTCCACCCCGTTCGGCCATTTTTGTAGTTTGATAGCAGAGATACGATTATCTAGTGGCACAGAAACGTTTTATTCACACGTTATTAACAAAATGTCAACAACGGAAGACTTGTCCAGCCAGCCTTACATGTTCTAGCCAGAGTCGGAGCCGGAGCGATTTGAAAATGAAGACGACGAACCTGCAGAACAACGTCTTCATATGGATGTATCGCAATGGTGTGTTACTGTATTTACACATGAAACTTTGGTCTTCCGACCTTTTACCACCGTGTCGATTTATTTTGATTAATATGTGCGAGGGAGAGAGAGCAAGACAGCGCTTAGTTTGGAGACGGTGAAGTCTTGTTTACACTTTCGCCTGGCTCCGAAGAGAGAGAGTGCGCGCGCGCGACCGGGTCTCTCTTTCTGCTCGTTCTTTCAGTTAAACATGCGCCCTGTCACAACACAAGCACGGCAGTTCATCTACATTAGACGGTGTAATGAAGCGTGTGGGTTACTACATCCAACAACCGAACATTTTAACTTACCCTCTCGTAAGTTCTGCATCCTTTAGCTTGGACTACAAAATTGCAGCGAGAAATAAAAATGGCGGATTGCTCGAAATGGTGGGCCGGAAGTCGATGTCCTTATTTGGCAGTTCCGCTGCAAATACTGTGACGTAATAGTTCAAAAAACGTCATAGAGAACAGACAAATCGGAAGCCTTTCTTCATCTAAATCAAAGAACAATAAGAAAATTCGAGTCTTGTTTCAGGAGGAGTCTGTTTCTATGCCATATGTAATTTCTTACTGGAATGGTTTTGTAAGTGACATTCCCTGGAAAAAAGTTTGGACATTACCACACAAATACCTGATAACTAACAAAATTAGAGAAATTACCTTTAAGTTGATTCATAGGTTTTATCCAGATAAGTGTTCTCTCAAAAGACTTAAGAGTGATATTGATACCCTCTGTTCTTTCTGTTTAGAGAAACCTGAAACTTCTTTACATTTATTTTGGAACTGCTCTCTCACAGTGACATTTTGGTGTGACATTTATGATTTTATCAAATGTTATGTGAATCCTAACTTTGAATTTACATATAGAAATGTAATTTTTGGTTTTCATGAATGTGAAAAGAAAAATGATATTTATTTTGTAAACCTTATTTTTCTCTTAGCTAAATTTCACATTCACAAATGTAAATTTTCTAAACGCAGTCCTCTTTTTTTAAGATTTAAACTTGAAATGAAAATGTATTTTGAATCTATTGAGTTCTCAAAAAACTTAAAAGCTATAAGAACAGTGGCTGTGTTTAAGGACTTGGCACTTAATCTGGATTAAAAAGACTGAAGGAGCTTAATCTGGACTGAGGGACTCTGCTGTACTATGTTATGACAATGACATTAATTGTTGTTGATGTTGATGTTTTTTTCTGAGCATTTAATAAAAAAATAAAAAACTTAAAGTAACAACAGGTCGTTTTTTGCTCTCGGGCTCCCCCTACAGTTGGGAAACAGTATTCGCTCTGTGCACGAGAAAAATGCTAACTTCCGGCTTGAGGGTGGAAATTGGGTACTTCGTTTCCGGTTGCCGTCTTGTTTACATCAGTGGACCGGCGTTAAGTTAGTTTAATCGTTCGCAATGGACCTAAAACATAAAAAAAACCGATTCACTTTTCAAAGGGCATACGGTGGTAATACCATAATTCCTCAAATAAAAGCTGGGGCCTTTATTTACCTAAACTGCAGAAGGTAACAGGCTTTTATTAGAGGCAGGCGCTTTATTTAAAAAAAATCTAAATCAAATTTCCGTCTGGGTTCCATGCTCCTCAAGACAATTTCGTTTTCATTAAAGTTGTTGAAAAGACCGTTACACTAGCAGCACTAAATTATATGTGTGTTACATCTATTGTCTACTACCATCTATTGGCTGTACGTTACGATGAACTTGAATGCATATTAGGGGATGTTTACACCTGGCCACTTCATGTGTTTTCTCAGATCGGAAAGCTCTCTGATTTATCAAAACAATTCTACTTAAATCTGCTCACAAATGCGTTTTCGCAAAACGGATATAAATCTTCAATTCCCACGCTATATGCGGATTTAATGGAGTGGACGTCACCGAAAGCAACAGATATGAGCTGCATTTGATAGATCAGCTCATTTCTAAATCAAAAGACCGCAATAAGCGAGAGCGGCAACAAGCCTGGTAAGATCATTTCGTTTCTTTACTTTTAATGATGAGGAGAATTGTCTGCGACTTACTTTCACTTTAATTTGCAATAGTTTGCACGTTGGCTTTATGGATAGATGCTCGGCTGCCGTGATGCGTGTTGCAGTAGCGTTGTCACATCTTGCTATAACATTACATAGCCCATAACACGCTCTCACACTTATTTTGTAGCGTTTTTGGGAGGAGTAAAATTTAGATACGTGGTTTCAACAATCAGATGCATTTGATTTACACTTGTGCAGTTTCGTCTGAAATCTCGTCTCAGATCTCCTCCTGAAGAAGTGGTTTGAGCGATCGGATTTAAATTGTCTCGAATGTGCTTCGGATGGCATTTATACATGGTCTTTTCACGATCAGATCACAGAACACGCATGAAGTGGACAGGTGTAACATCTCTTCAATGAAAGTCATTTAGGAGATTATCCACACTAATTTTCCCCCGGCCTTTATTTGTCCGCGTTGATCACGCACCCGGCCATTATCAGAGGCCCGGCGTTTATTTGAATACCGGTTTTTATTTGAGGAATTACGGTAACCAGGCGCTGCTGCATTGTGAAAAGTAAACAATGTTTAACGTTACTTCTACGTCGTCCATCAGGCTACCGGAAACTAGACACCCCCTATCGGTTTCGCAGCCGGAAGTAGCATATGCTAATGTGCACATAGTCTATTGTCCTCTACTACTGTCGTAAACTCTGTCATCCTACATGCACGTGCAATTGTTGACAACCAGGATAGCCCTGAACACTGTAGGAGGAGGTCACATGCAGGTGTTCTGCTTGCGTCGCGTGTGAAATGTCTTCATCCCAGGTACAGTGGCATATATTTCAGCATGTCATATGAATATAATTTCATGGGTTTTATTTTTTTTCTAACGACAAATGATCGCGATGCTCACGTTTACAAGCCAGCGTCATTATAGTAGCCTAGTCTATTGGTTACCGTTTTACTGGATCTATATGATACTTCAATGCAATGTTTGAGTGGTTGATAATAACCATATATCGTCAATATTATAATATCAAGCTACCATAAATGAATCTGCAAATTTTACAAATCGATTTGCATTATAGCTTGAGGCAAGACAAATAAACAAATATCACAGACATGTTAGGTATCCTAAAATATGATTTTATTAATAATCTTCCTCCTTTCTTTGTACATGTTGAGTAGACTACACATTTTAGGTCAAACATTTGCTATTTGCATTTCATCGATTGCAAAGTTCAAATCAGAACGAGAATACTAGCGATAGCTAACCATCAAAAACTAGAATATCGTTTACTAGCTACCAGATTGATAATTCGCTACTACTCTAGCGAATTAGAGAGGTTAGAGAGAGGCATTCTTTTTTCGATGGGGCGTTCGATGCTCCCTGCACACGCAAGGTCTCTCGCTCGCTTTCTCTCTCTGCCGTCCGCGCGCGTTGGAGCACAGTCTCTGTCTCGCGTGCGCGCTCGCTCTAGATTCCGGGAGATTTGAACTAATTTGCGGTATAACTTGTCGATCACGAGTGGCTCAACAGGTAGATCTATAGATAAACTCATCTTTCAGGGATTTGACCGACCGGGTTGACAATTTAGCGTGAGAAACCGGGGGTGTGGCGTACGTGTGAAACCAATCAAATGCGGGTGTCTCACGGCCAATGCGTGAGTTGGCAGCTCTGCAATGTTGATCCTCGTTCTGCCTTTAACGCGATCACTTTCTCTTTTTGCTTTGCTCCGATAAAACCTTTGCTTTCTTGTTTTTCTGTGCTGCTTCGCCCATGACTATAACATTTGGCTCGCAAGTCCGATTTTAAGGAAGTGGGGGTGGTGGTGGAAGTGACGTATATGCCGTAAAGCAGTCGAATTTTGTAGTTCTCTTTGTTCGCCGGTTACTACCCGAAACCCGAAGTTTAAAAGTACGATTAAAAACGCTACAGACCCCGTCAGGCTATGGCAGACGTGTCATTCAACCTATTGTAAGTCGATGTACCATCACAAGAGACTTGGAAATATATTATGAAGGTTGAAAAGTTACCTGTTGTTACTTTAAAAAACAAAAAACAAAACAGAAAAATCGGAACAGGTTGAAAAATATGACCAAAACAGAATATAAAGATATCAACGAAGCACCTGAAGAGAATAATTTAAACTTGGGAGAAACCCACCCAAATCAGCGTCGGTTAAACAGGCGTGGGAGGAAAAAAACTACATTTTTTTACATCTTCATGGACACCACAATGATTTCCCTCATGTGTTAATATTTTTCCTTGTTATAATGTATGATTTGCAAAAATAAAAACTGCTGCATCTGTGTTGATGAGAGAATCAAAGTGTATGCGCGTTGTGCACCCGCTACATTATGGCCAAGCATGCGTGCTTAAAATAGCATTATGAACAACGTGCAACGCGCCACTGACTTTAGACTAGGTTTTTTTCTGGTCAGTGGCGGAATTGTTTTCTGGAACTGCAAAATAGCAC